TTATGAGACCCACTATGGTGGTGTCATCTGCAAACTTCAAAACCATGTTTGAGGGGTGGAGGACTGTGCAGTCTTGGGTAATTAATGTGAAGAGAGCTGGACTGAGCACACAGCCCTGTGGTGTGCCTGTGTTTAGAATTATGGTGGATGATGTTTGGTCTCCTATTCTCACCACCTGAGGCCGATTAGTGAGAAAGTCTCTAATCCAGAGGCACATTGAAGCAGAGAGTCCCAGGTTATTGAGTTTCACTATCAGCTTGTCTGGGATGATGGTGTTGCAAGCCGAGCTGAAGTCAATAAATGGCGTCCTAACATAAGTGTTATGATGCTGCAGATGTGTCAGAGTAAATTACCAACAGTACATAAAACGTCTGGTTAAGTTTCCTGCAGCATCCGAGCTGTGCGGTAGGCTAACTATGGGTGTTATGGAGGGCAAAGTTAGTGTTGGTTTATGCTTGACGCATTCACTTTCCGCTTGGTGATGCGGCTCGCGGATGGAACGCGCTTCACAACTCGCAGCGTTTATGGTTCGTGCGGCTCGTCTCTGCGGTGAGCCAATATTCTCCCAAACTGTAGGGGGCAGCATGGAGCTCTACTGCATGCATCCAACACTACACCATAGTAGAAGTAGAAATGACTGTTTACAACACGGCATTTCAGCATTTTTAACAGCGTTCTCGTCTTTTCCGACAGTGCGAGCTATTTCTCTCCAAGAATTATTAACAACATGTTGATCACGGTGATCTCTGAGAGCTGAATCATACAAATATCTGTATTTACGAACCTCTGCCATACTAGTTCTTGCCGGTCCGCCATGTTTTTCCGCATCTGTCCGTCCGCGTGGTTAGAAATTTTCCGAGGTGCGCGTTGCGGAAATTCTGGGCCGTGCAGAGGCGCGGTGGAGGGGCGTGGTTGTTAAAATGATGCAACTTTTCCGCGCGGAGCCGTGCGGACCTCGAGGACGCGTCAAACATAAACCAACCTTTAGCCTGCCAGCCGAGGTTCCGCATGCCTGCGCTATCACAGGAACATGCATATTGCTGCATATTGAGGAAGTAAACACCTTGAAATAAGAGCAACCCTGCTACTTTTGAATATTTGACAATAAACACACGTTTTTAATCAGGTTACTTCCTAAACAAGTGAAAATGAAACTTAAAGGAAGACCTGAAATGTATCGGATCGGAACTCGCTCTCGGCAGACACTCAAATTCAAATGACTCAGAATCAGATTGGGAGCAAAAAGAAAAAAAACATGATCGGAACATCCCATCGAGCTGCTGCTGCGGCCGCTGCCACTTTCTAATAGAAGACAGCAGTGTGCTGGTGCAGTTGAGCCTGTTATCTGCTGCTGGGGGCTCTATAAAATACGAATCTCGCTCTGTGGAGGCTGAGCGAGAAGAACATGAAGCTGCAGATCAACAAGACGCAGAAGAGGAAGCCATGGCTGAAGAGGCAGCCGGATCCTGTGAGGGTTCTGGAGAGGCTGGAAGCTCAGCGGATCCAGTTGAGGCCTCCTCCTGTGAGGCGTGATGTACAAAGGCATTTAGTTGTTAGCTCTTTGGCATATTTTACATACACTGCTAAGAAACTGATTTTAATTATAGCAATCGGTTTAGGTGACTGAAATATTATAGAAGCATGATTTTGTTGAAAGCTTTTCAGTAGAAGTGCAGCTTATTGAATATTATGTTATGTTAGCTAGCCCAGAGGCACAAAGGCAGTACGAACATAGCATTGCTAATCTAGTTACCTCGAAATTTGAGGAGGTTGCTCTATGTTTAATGTGAGGCTGCAACCACGAGAGCAGAATATAATAATACTGCTCTTCAAGGTCTCCTTTTTCACCCTCACAAATCTGTCCCGCATTTCCCTCCATCTCCTCATGCAATCTCTCACCTCCGTTTCCAAATTTTGTGCGATCTCATTCCGGAAGTAAAAATGAAATTGGGCGTCTTTACAGACCTTCAGAGAGAAGTTCTATGAATGCTCACATTTCTGGACTTCTTCAGCCAGACGTTCTTCCTGCTGACCGATAGATTCTGAGAACTACCAGTGTCGAGGCCGAGACCAGCGATGTTGATCATTTTGAAAGGAAATGGCGTCAAGTCGGAAATAATCTTAGGTTGTTGGGTCGGCCAATCACGAGCTTGCGCTTTCCATCTCATTGGACTTCATCCGTCCTTGCGAGCCTGCTGGAGGGCCCTCAATATGACAGATAATAAAGTTGCGTGTCTCCGTACTGACGCAAACGGATAAGCATAAACAAGGCTTAACTTTCAGCATGCATGAACAGATCTCTGTGATCACTAAAAAGGAGAAATTCCAGCTGCCAAAGATAAGAAAACGTGAAAATGACAAAAATCCCAGTTCTTCTATTATCCAGTTTCCAACGACTTCCATGTTAAAAACGCCAAATTCTGCAGAAATAAACCTGTTTACAGCCTGATACAAAAACATTTTAGGTTTAATAGGTCCACTGTATCATCATGACAACGAGTGCGTTTACATGCAGCGAGTAACCCTTTTAAAACCCGAATATTCACAATAACCCGGTTCCGCAGGTCCATGTAAACACCGCCAAAAACCCGGATATGCTCATAACCGGGCTTTTAAAAACCCGGTTACTACACCTGGGGTAACCCTTTTCTAACCCGAATGTTTGGTCGTGTAAACGCATACCGGGATATCCCCATCAAAGCGTGTGTTCTGCACATGCTCTGTTCGCAAGGAATCTTGGTCTTTTGAGTAGCGAGACGTCTTGTATGCGCCAGAACACCGGAAGTAAACAACAACTTGGGAGCGACATGGCGAGTCGCGGCACAGCACCACACTTTTGGAGTGACGAGGAAACTAAAGCACAAACAAACGCGGTCGCTATCTCTTCCGAACTGGGAAACATGTTGTTGTTTTCACGGATACCGGAACAAGAAGAACCGGAAATGACGCAAATTGCGTCTGGACGTAGTCCACACGTCCTGACGCTACTCCAACGTCCGCATTTAAATCGGGTTATGCAAGTTAGGGGTAACTCTTTCTATTTATGCTTGTAAACGGATTATTCTGATCAGCTCAGAAACCCGAATACCGACCTTAACCCGATCATAACCCGGATATTGGCTGCATGTAAACGTAGTCAATAATGCTGTATGGTGGACAATGGGTTGGTAGGGCTGGGTAGCAAAACTCCGTACCGTATCCCTCCCTACTGCTGCTGTACCAGCGGCAGCTAGCTGCCCTGCTCTGTCTGCGTCTCTGATGGAGACCACAGACACAGAGTAGCGCAGTGAGTTGATATGCTCTGAGTTAGCTCTGTTAGCTCATAGCTATACTGGCTCGGAGTTTGATGCCCCCCCCACCCCCCACCCCCACCCCACCCTCTAAGCACACTTTGTCCATTTTTTAATTTTCCAGGAGTGATGAGCCACGTCGTGGCCAAGATGGCAGTGATAGAAACTTCCCAATGGGCTTCAGTTCAGCTCTTCAGTAACCTACGGGTAACATGACAGATGGTTCGTCCATTATATATGCAGTCTATGGGTCACTCCAACCAATCTGGTCACGGCTCAGAAATGTTATTTAATGATGTTGGACCTGGTTTGACCCGTACACTAAGGCAGCATTTTGCAAAAATTACTCATCGGCGTAATTGTACCTAAGGAGCGTCCTCTATCTTCTGATACAGCTCAAGTTCAGCACCATCTGACTAAGTCTCTTCCTCGAATGTTCTGAGGATTTAAATCAACTTGCTGTTGTTTTAGATTCACAGTCAAGATGACTTTTTTGTTCACATCAAGCTTTTGTATCAACTTCGTGCCGCACACTGCCAAGAAACAAGATACGCCCTTCTGTCTGCTACCAACGTTACACAGTCCCCGGAGGTGGCGGTCATAACACGTCCAGGTGACTGGAAAAAAACAGCTACATGCACAAATTAAAGCGTGTTTGAAGCTGATGACATCCTGCTCTCCTGGTCTTTGGGCAGATTGGGTTGCTGGTTCCAGGCATCAGAACGGTGAAAACGCTGAAACATGAGCCTGTGGATCCCGTGTCGGGCTCAGCCCCTGGGCCATCCATCTGAGCCGCAGGAGAGAGGTAACCAATACCGCCTTAGCTAGAAGTAGCGTCAGCAGCACCCGTCGCCGTAGCGGCCCCCACACTAATTAGCTCCCATTGTTGAGAGTGGATCATCGCTGAAGGGGAGCTCGGCAACCACGCCTCACTGCTTCCCCATCATCAGCCTCTTGGTGTGTGAGTGCGACCCTTCTCTGCTGATTTATTCATGGTTCCTATTGGCCGGCAGCTGTGGTTACTCTGAGTTCATCTGTGTTTAGCCTGCATCATAGGTCACTGAAGTGTGATGGGAAGAAAACAGCTACAAGTGGACAGCTGTGAGGCTTCAAGGGTGGACACGCGTGCCAACACAGAGGTCCCGACAGGCTCCTCCGGTTTTATGTTTCTCATTTAAAACCAAACCAACAAAGCAAACACTTTGACATAGTCACTAGTGATACTCTACATCAAAGTATTAGTTGTGAAAGAAAAACCAACACTCATCTCGTGCCAAAATGGCATCATTAAAATATTCATCACATCAAGGAGTGTCATGCTTTTCAAACAAATGAACTAATCTCCTCTGCCAGTCCTCTGTGGCAAACTGAGAAGGAGGAAGGTAAGCCATCATGGCCTGTAGTCACTTATTAAACACAACAACCTCCATGCTCTATTCTCTCAGAGCTCTTAGACTGAGAGCAGTGTAATCAAACCGACTGGAGGAGAAGAGCTCGGGAGAACGACAGGCTTGACCTGAATAAAATACATGCAACTAATTAACAAAATGATTCATCAAGGTTTCAAAACCTTCCAGATGTTTGCTGTTGACCGCACTCCCCATTCAAGCTCTGATGCTAATGTCAAGGCGAACAGCTGGCCAGAGACTCCCAGAGAAGACATAAAGCAGGAGCGTGTGCACAACGAAACGTGATCCAGCTCAGACTTACATGCTTTTCTACGGCACGGAGATATCTGGCACATTCAGAGTGTCCGTTGTACTCTGCTAAGTCTGCTGCAGTGAACCCATCAATGTCTTGATCTGTAGGGTTTGCCCCACTGGCCAACAGCACTTTACAGCACTGGGAGAGCAAATGGGACAATCAAGGTCAACTAAGGAAGCAAAAAGTAAAATTGTGTTTATGACATGAAAACAAAAGAACAGAGATGGGTCTAACCTCCATCTCCCCGTTCTCTGCAGCATCATGTAGAGGGGTCCCTCCCCAGTAATCTTTGATGACCTTTGAACCCATACGAAGCAGCTTCTCCAAGATGCAATAGTGTCCCCTGCTGGCAGCAAAGTGAAGCGCAGTGGCTCCCTCTCTGTCCTGGCAGGACGAGCCCACATCTGTGCAGGTCATCTACTTGGGGGTTAACAAACAGATCAAAACAACTCTCCGGACAAAACATGGGTCTGTGTGTCTACCCACCAGCCACTCCACCACAGCGTCATGGCCCATGTGTGCAGCAGCATGCAGGCAGGTCATGCCATCGTGGGCTCGCAGGTGGGCATCAGCTCCGCAGTCTTTCACAAGATATTCTACAACATGCAGGTGCCCCTCCTGGCAGGCCAGGTACAAGGGGGTCACACCAAATCTGGTCTGGTGGTTCACACACCTGCAGTCAACACCCATAAACAACAAGGATGGCTCAGTTAGCACGATTAACACCTGAAACATGCCGTCAGTGCTGATGTGGAGCTAAAGTTCAGCTGGAGACAACGACTGGAGAAAGAAAAATAATTATGGATTCAAATGATCGATCAAGGATGTCCTCTGATCATGTGACACATCATACAGAGGAGGTGACGAGAATGACTTTAAGCTAAATCTGCACTAATGCTTAGCTCAACATCTGTACATTCTAAGGAATTATGGACATTTTTGTGTCAGCTGACGTTGATTAGCAGTGGTGCCTCTTGAAAGGGGCCAATTCTCAGAGTTAACCCTTTGGCTGTCTGGTCAACCAGCAGGTAGAGCACATCTTAGGTGTGTTCTTGCTGTGTCTTTCTAAATCCATTCTTTCGTTCTTTTACCTGTAGCTACAAACAGGTAAACAAAACGGTTTCTGTGTTTAAAAAAAGAACGAAAGAATGGAGGTAGAGCACATCTTAAGTCCCATTGAAGCATTAAATTAACTTAACAAGAGAAAAATAGTAATAAGAATGTGGAGTAGTTTGAAGAAAAGGCTGAACATTATTACGTTGTATTATCATTTATTTTATGCTATTGTTAATTCACAATAAAGTGAGACTGGGTAGTATTGGCTTGCTTTTAGCACCCCCTAGTGTCCATTTAGTAGAACTTATCTAAAAGCTAAACTTATCTCCTCGCTGTGCGTTCATCTTTATAACACCTTGATCTAACAGCTGAACTGTCTCCCCAGCCTTTCTTAGTGTCTACAGGAGGGATTAATCACTAAATCAAACAAATCAGCTGCGTTCATGATCTAAAACATGTAGGAAACATGCTGGAAGCAGACTGCAGCGTCAGGTATGTCAAGCAAGTCCAACAGGTTGGACTGGGACCTCTAAAGTTGCGGTATTATGGCCATATGGGGCGATATGGGCTGGGTGGCCTTTCATTAACACTGTAAAGGGTCATTTGAACTCACACTGGCTCAAGAAATTGATTTAAAATGTATGAAAAAATTGCAAATTATCCCTTTAATCCCTGTAAAGTCCTTATTGACCCAAATCAAAAAGTGCATATGATTAAATGTTTCATTGCTTTTCCTTGATGATGAGGTCAACAGGTTGGATCTTGCAGTGGTGAGTTTCACTAAAATACGTCTCGTGTTAACAGACAGGGTCGACCGGTTTTAGGCAGAGATCTTGGCTGATGTGTAGTTCTTATAGTATGTGACGTAAACGACTTTCAGCTACTAACACAACCGTTTCATTTTTGCTTTAAATAAAATAAAAGCCAAAAAAGTTATCACCATTTTTTGTATTTGTTATTGTAAATGAGCCGAGGCAGCCGGGTAAATGGGGTTGAATCCAAAAGTGAATCAGCAGAGATTGGATGAGTAAAAGTTGAAAGATCCATCAACCACTTAAACTTGACTGGAATTTCCTTTTTCCTGATTTGCCTGCTGGCTAATGGCAATATAAAAAAATTCAACAATTATTATTTTATTATGTAATTATATAACAACACAACAACAATAAAATACCCAACAGTGTAACATGCCCCTTGCAGACCTAGATCTTCCACTGGAGAGGGACACACACGACCTTCAATACAGCGGGTCTTTGAGGAAAGTACTAATCCTGTTAAACAGCAACTGTTACATATATGAATATTTATTATGGTGCTGATGCTAGAGGGTCAACTGAGTGTGGGCTTCAAACAGAAATTGGCTTCTTCCTGCTCCTGAGCAAACTGACTAGTGAAGGTTATTAGTTTTGATTAGTTTTCCTATTTTTATTTTTTCATAATTCTTTGATAGTTTTTTGCTATTCATTCATTCATTCATTCATTCATTCACCGATTATCTATTTATTTATTCTTTTATCTGTTCATGCAGAAAATCCTTTGAAATAAGAAAATCTCTTTTACAAGGACAGTCTGGCCAATCATCATCATCATCATCACCACCACGTCGTCGACATCATCGTCATTATCGTTGTCGTCGTCGTGGTCATCATCTTCCTCATCATCATTACCACCACGTCGTCGTCGTGGTCATCCTCCTCCTCCTCATCATCATCGTCATCGTCATCTTTGTCATCATCATTGGCATCGTCGTTGTCATCATCCTCCTCATCATCATCACCACCACGTCGTCGACATCATCGTCATTATTGTTGTCGTCGTCGTGGTCATCATCTTCCTCATCATCATTACCACCACATCGTCGTCGTGGTCATCATTCTCCTCTTCATCATCATCGTCATCTTTGTCATCATCATCATCATCATTGGCGTCGTCGTGGTCATTATCCTCCTCCTCATCATCATCACCACGTCGTCATTGTTGTCATCATCCTCCTCCTCCTCATCATCGTCATCTTTGTCACCATCATCCTCCTCATCATCATCACCACGTCGTCGTCATCATCCTCATAGTCATCATCCTCCTCATCATCATCATCACCACCACGTCGTCGACATCATCGTCATTATTGTTGTAGTCGTCATGGTCATCATCTTCCTCCTCATCATCATCGTCGTCATCTTTGTCACCATCATCCTCCTCCTCATCATCACCACGTCGTCGTCGTGGTCATCATCCTCCTCATCATCGTCATCTTTGTCACCATCATCATCATCATTGGCATCGTCGTTGTCATCATCCTCCTCCTCATCATCATCGTCGTCATCTTTGTCACCATCATCCTCCTCCTCATCATCACCACGTCGTCGTCGTGGTCATCATCCTCCTCATCATCGTCATCTTTGTCACCATCCTCCTCCTCATCATCGTCATCTTTGTCACCATCATCATCATCATTGGCATCGTCGTTGTCATCATCCTCCTCCTCATCATCACCACGTCGTCGTCGTGGTCATCATCCTCCTCATCATCGTCATCTTTGTCACCATCCTCCTCCTCATCATCATCGTCGTCATCTTTGTCACCATCATCCTCCTCCTCATCATCACCACGTCGTCGTCGTGGTCATCATCCTCCTCATCATCGTCATCGTCGTCGTCATCATCATCAGAAGTGGTTTTAATATTTGCATATCATACACTTGGAGTCACAGGGTTCAAATCTGTCCAGTCGTTCATGAGACGTTAACACACGGACAGGCAACAGCATTACCACCTGACGGTAGCAGGTGATCAAAACCTAAAAGGCGTGAAGTGGACCGCACAGCACTGGTTTCCAGTGTTTTTACTGGTCAGCAACCAGCTGAGACGGTCTGTGATGCTTCAGGTGAATCTACAGGAAGCATTTAATGCTGAACTGTTGGTGCGTGTTTATCTAAGACCCTGCTGGCTCAAGGAGAGCCGTCACTCTTCTGTTGCCCGGCACCAGTGGCCGTACCTGTCCTTCGTCAGTTCGGGGTATCGGCCGCTGAGGTCGTCAGAAGGTGAAACCGAGCCATGCTGCAGGTTCACTCTTCCTGCTCAATCATAACAGATGCTGATCTCTTTCCACCATGCTGAATGATCATTCATTCATTCATTCATTCATTCATTCATTCATTCATTCTTCTTTATAATTTATCAAAAGTTCACAGTTGGAGAAGATGTCAGAGCTTTGGCCAAAAGCCTTTACAGACTTGACCAGATGATGGCACTCAAAGAAAAGGAACTGATCTACTAAAATAAGTGAAGATAGAGATTTGTATAAGATAACCGTTTGTCGATGACACACTTTACTTTATCAATAGCATGGCTTTTAAACAGTCAGGCATTCCTTAAAGCTAACAAGAATCCCTAATTAGGGGCCTTTTGTTTTTGTCCTAAATATAAGATTTCATAAAATATCTGAAAACGTTGTGGGATGAGACAACTCACCCAGGTGCCTCCTGGATGAGGAGCTTTAAACAGGTGAGCCCCCCGTTGGCTGCAGAGTAATGAGCAGGCACAGCTCCACACTTTGTCTCCGCACCAGCCACTCCTCCAACGGAAAGCAGCCAACGAATAATCTCCATGTGGCCGAACCGTGCTGCCAGGTGAAGGGCCGTGGCGCCGGCAGCATCCTTAACCTGGAAAACATTCCCAAAGATCCGATGATGAGGAAGGAGTCGCTGAACCTAGAACCCTCATGGCTAAACGCTTGTTATTACTTCAATTAAACGGGAGACAAAGTTTCCGAGAACGATTTCCGTGAATCTTATAAAAATCACCATAAAATGTGATCGTAGAAAAAGCTGCACAATCGGTTTCTTTTCCAACAATGGGCAGACACAGATGTGGAGACGCCATTATTATTACACATCTGGAAATAATTGCTCCTCCTCCTGGTGGATTCACATTAAGTCTAAAGCAAATTATGTAATCAGCTGGTAATTCATCAGGAGAGGTCGCCCAGAGAACAGTTTACAACCACAGGGATGTGACTGCATTTTAGGATGAGTGAGAATAACCAAATATTAGGACCCAAATGAAACTTTCTCAAAGCAGAAAGATAGAAAATATCTAAATCCTCAGCTTAATCACAAATGGTCACACCAGGTAATTATAAATGTTTTACTTTAAGTGAAATACATGTAGTATTTGTTCTCAGTGAAAAGACACAAAACATCAAAATGCACCGGTTCTGGTTCGGAGGGTCGATGCCAATTTCTGATGCCCATGCAGCTCTGAGCTGCTGACAGTTTTATGTCAAAGAAAAATACTTTATGTTGCCATAATTTAACCAGGGAAGCAGATTGAGAACCCGACGACCTGACCAAGAGATAGCAAGAGCAGAAAATGTGGAAATTAACAAGATAAATACACCCATAAACAATTAATAATACCATTTTCACACACAGTAAGTAATCTGAGTAATCAGGACGGTCTGAAGTCAGTCAGATGCAGGTACTGATCAGAGATGACTGGTGGCACTGAGCTGTTGAAGGTCATGTGATGTAGGAAAAATGGCCTGTATTTGATATAGGAACCCCCCCCCCACCCCCCCACCCCCCCCACCCCACCCCACACACACACACACAAAGGAAATAGTGGTTGAACCAAGAACGGGGTAAACATTTCTGATTGTAAACAACTACCTCTGCACTGCAATTGCACACACCTGCTGCTATATGTCTTGTATATTTTTAGCGATATTTACCTGTTTAATATTATCTTATTGTTAGGGATGTTTTTTTGTTTTTGTTATTGTTGTGCATCTGCACTTTATGTTAATGTCTACGCATGGGACAGTGTGAAACGTAATTTCAATTCCTTGTATGGCAAGCACATTCGAAGAAATTGACAAATAAAGTATTCTATTCTATTCTATATAGCGCCTTCTAGAGTCCTGGAACCCCCCAAGGTGCTTTACAACACAATCAGTCATTCACCCATTCACACACACATTCACACACTGGTGGTGATGAGCTACGATGTAGCCACAGCTGCCCTGGGGCGTACTGACAGAGGCGAGGCTGCCGAGTACAGGCGCCACCGGTCCCTCCGACCACCAGCAGCAGGCAAGCTGGGTTACGTGTCTTGCCCAAGGACACAATGACAGTGACATACTGAGCGGGTCTCGAACCTGCAACCTTACGATTACGGGGCGAGCACTTAACTCCTGTGCCACCGTCGCCCATGCAGCTCATTCCAGTCATTTGGAACAGCAAACCTTGGGAATAATCCTGGAGATTAAGTTACTGGAGTGTAAATGACAAAGGTCGTTGGAGATGTTGAGACATGGGTGAGCGATGGTGAGTTCATGCAGTGGGACTAGTAACAGACGTTTTTGCTGCTTGGTAATGGTTATTAAGTTAATTACGGTACTGGAGAGGAGGGTCCGATCGATAGTTGAATCTCAGATAGAGGAGGAGCAATGTGGTTTTCATCCTGGCCGTGGAACTGTGGACCAGCTCTATACTCTTGCAAGGGTGATGGAGGGGGCATGGGAGTTTGCCCAACCAATCCACATGTGTTTTGTGGATTTGGAGAAGGCTTATGACCGTGTCCCCAGGGGCACCCTGTGGGGGACGCTCCAGGAGTATGGGGTGGGTGGCTTTCTGTTAAGGGCCATTCAGTCCCTTTACCAGAGGAGCGTGAGTTTGGTCCGCATAGCCGGTAGTAAGTCGGACCTGTTCCCAGTGAGGGTTGGACTCCGCCAGGGCTGCCCTTTGTCACCGGTTCTGTTCATCACTTTTATGGACAGAATTTCTAGACGCAGCCGTGGTGTGGAGTGTGTCGAGTTTGGTGGCAGGAGAATCTCGTCTCTGCTTTTTGCGGATGATGTGGTCCTCCTAGCTTCATCCAGCTCTGACCTTCAGGTCTTGCTGGGTAGGTTCGCGGCCGAATGTGAAGCGGCTGGGATGAGGATCAGCACCTCCAAATCTGAGACCAGGGTTCTCGACCGGAAAAGGGTGGCTTGCCACCTCCGGGTCGGGGGAGAGGTCCTACCTCAAGTGGAGGAGTTTAAGTATCTCGGGGTCTTGTTCACGAGTGAGGGTAGGAGGGATCGGGAGATCGACAGGCGGATCGGCTCAGCATCTGCAGTGATGCGGACGCTGAGCCGATCTGTCGTGGGGAAGAGGGAGCTGAGCCAGAAAGCCAGGCTCTCGATTTACCGGTCGATCTACGTCCCAATCCTCACCTATGGTCATGAGCTTTGGGTAATGACCGAAAGAACGAGATCGCGGATACAAGCGGCCGAAATGAGTTTCCTCCGTAGGGTGGCCGGGCTCAGCCTTAGAGATAGGGTGAGGAGCTCGGACATTCGGGAGGGACTCGGAGTAGAACCGCTGCTCCTCCGGATCGAAAGGAGCCAGTTGAGGTGGTTTGGGCATCTGGTCAGGATGCCTCCTGGACGCCTCCCCGGGGAGGTGTTTCGGGCATGTCCTGCCGGCAGAAGGCCCCCGGGTCGACCCAGGACACGTTGGAGAGGTTACATCTCCAATCTGGTCCGGGAACGCCTTGGGGTCCTGCCGGAGGAGCTGGTGGACAAGGCCGGGGAGAGGACGGCCTGGAGCTCCCTAGTTGGGATGCTGCCCCCGCGACCCGGACCCGGATAAGCGGAGGAAGACGAGAAGTTAATTACGTGTAAATATGAATTATGGTGCCCTTGGGCTTTTTTTTTAAACATTGTCAAATTTTGATCACCAGCTGATTTTTGGTGCCGAGTTGAGACTCATCCTCAACTCTTCCAACGTTTTCAGACATACATCATCATTACTGCAGAATAAACGCTGAATGCACCGACCGGCCACAACATTAGGACCACTCACTCTCTGAATACAAAGCTGAGCACACCTTAGCTTCAGGAATTCCTCCAGACCAAACTTTCATGTGTTGAAACCAGCTAAATGCTGCACGCCCAACCCGCCCGGTGTTTGCAGCTTTGACCACAGCTGAATCCTGGGACATGTGATGGCTGAGCTATTAAACTCCCAGAGAAGAAAAGGTGTAGAACCGACCCTAAGTGAAAGCAAGTGGAGAGGGTGTCACACTTCCAATTTCCCGGGCACAAACATATCAGAGGACCTCCAAAAGACCTACAAAACCACATGTCCGATAAAGAAGGCACAACAGCTTTGCCTCCTGTGAGCGCTGGTGTCATTGCATCGCTACTCCACAGTGTCCTGACCAACAGCATCCAGTTGTGATGCAGCAGCAGCTCTGTAGATGACAGAAAGGCCCTGCACACCTGCCTGCCCTGGATGACATATTCATCTTCTGCTGCCTTCAAAACAAAATCCCTAAAAGGATTCCTCCCACCTGTCTTTAAGCAAGTGCAATGGCCAATCTTGCATCTTGAAGTGAGACAATACTACTGTCAGATAAAAAGATTGTGCATTGTCCACAGAGGGAGTCTTCTTCTTGCAGGATGAACTTACCTCAAAGTTGCATCCTCCTTGGTTCACAAGCCACTGCAGCTCCCGCACGTTCCCAGTAGCTGCTGCATCATGCACTGGAGTGGCCCTGTTCAGGGCTTCAGCATCTGCTGGCAGACCCAAGTCGCTGACTAGGAACTGAAGGCAGTCAAGGTGGCCAACCCTGGCAGCATGGTGCACAAGGCCTGCACCTTGAGTATCACTGATGGCATGGGAGAGGTGGCCAGAAGATGCTAGATCCCTCAGCGTAGCGAGGTCCCCTTCTCGAGCCGCCTGGATGGCCTTGTGAAGCACCATCTCCGCCTCCTTAAAATGATTGCAAACACTAAACGAGTTCTCGGGAGCCCTTTGCACCCCCATGAGACATCATCGTACTCTCACATGCACAAACTCTCAAACAATAAAAACAGCCCCCTCATGCTCTCACCTCCTCCTGAGCCAGGAAGGTGACACCCATCGGTGACCAGCTGGCCAGCACGGCCACTAGGGAGAGGAGGTGGGGCCGGAGCCAGCGTGATAGAAAGATAGTGAAAGACAGGTGGAGGTGCAGCGCTTACGGCCTCCTACTCTTTGTGTGGTGGCGACCGTACGCTGGCACAGGCGCACGAGCCGGTGGAGATGGGACGCCGAGGCAGCATGGAAACTTAAGTAACGGGAGAAGACCAGAGCCAGGGCATGGTGAATTACAATCAGTTTTATACGGCCGTTTTTAAAAATTCATGACCGAGCAGAGATGATTACCAGCTCATATGTGTGTAATATTATAATCTACATAAATATAACATGAGTTTAGGGTTTAAAAATATTCTAATACGACTCAAACATGTTGCCCCGTCTTCAGTCCTCACCCAGGATGGAACAGAAAACTCAAGTGTATTCATTTTTCCATCGCATCACCTGAGGGGTCAGTCCAAGTTCTCCCACTTTATTATTTATAGTAAACATCTCATAACTTTACAGCATCAGTAACATTTAGCACACATGGTGTGCCGCTGGCCCTCCTTATTTGAGCCACAGTGGAGCTCCAGCAGCGCAAACAGAAAGACATCAGTTCGTTTTTTCCAGCAGCTGAACAGTCTCCCTCAGGTCCTCCACCACTGCATCCACATCTGCTCTGGCTGTCTCCCTGCCCACGCTCAACCTCACGGCGTTAGCCGCCACCTCAGAGGGGACGCCACAGTTCAGGAGGATGTGGGAAGCTCTGGTGGGCGTGTAAAGTGTAGCGCGTGAGAGTTACTGCAGATTATGGCGAACAGATGAAAAGAGAGCTAATCTACCTGTTTCCACTGGCCGAGTGGCAGGCGGCACCAACGCTGGCTAACAGCCTTCTACAGGTGGACAACACCCTCCAGCCTGAAGCAGCAGAGAAACCAACCACCCACAGACGTCAGCGTTTCCGAACCAAACAGATGGGGTTAGAAGACTAAACAGGAGTCAGAGCATCACCTTGTAACGCAGGGCCCAGGATGGACACATTACACGTGTTAGGAAGGACGTCAGAGCCGGGGTAGTGGCTGTTGAAGCGGATCCGGTCTCTGAAGACGTCCTAAAGGAAGAACAACAGAATCCTTATATCAAAGACCCGGTCTTCATATTTTCACAATGAAAACTAAAATGGTTTCTAATATTTACTTTGCTTTTTGCCTCGCTGGAAACCTGAGATACGTCACGATGCTTTTTCCTTTTGTACTTTTATGTCTTCTAAATCAGTTCCTGAAAACTGCTGGAACAGCAAAGCCTTTCCCAGCGAGGTCTTGTTTTTACTACATCTGATTATTCTGGTCTGATTGAACTCTGCCCGAGTGGCTTCTGACCAAGTCCTCCAAACACACCCACATCACCCCGCTTCTCCTCCAGCTTCACTGGCTGCCAGTCAACTTCAGGGTTCATTTCAAGATCCTGGTTCTGGTCTATAGGGCCTTACATGGACAAGCACCATCTTACATTGGTGATCTTCTCAGTCCCTACACTCCCAGCAGGTCCCTGAGGTCCAGTGACCAAAGCCTACTGGTTGTGCAGCACCAGGCTAAAGGTCAAAGGTGACAGATCATCTGCTGCTGTGGCCCCCAGACTCTGGACCTCTCTCCCCCTGAGCCTGAGATCAGTGGACTCAGTGGTCTCCTTTAAAAAGCAGCTGAAGACTCACTTGTTCAAGCTGGCTTTTGTATGACCTTCTTCACCTCTCTCTCTTTATTCTGCTCTCCCCACCTATTCCACCTTGCTCAGGATCCTCTGATTTCCCTCTTTCCTGTTCACTCTCTCTCTCTTTCTTAACTTTTTTAATCACGATTGTCTATTTTTGCTCATTTTAAATATATTTTTAAAGATTTTCTAAATGCTTTTTTATATTTTTACATTTTTTTTGTTTTTGTGAAGCGCCTCGTGATTTTTGTCTTGAGAGGCGCTATAGAAAATAATTCTTCTTCTTCTTCTTCTTCTTCTTCTTCTTCTTCTTCTTCTTCTTCTTCTTCTTCTTCTTCTTCTTCTTCTTCTTCTTCTTCTTCTTCTTCTTCTTCTTCTTCTTCTTCTTCTTCTTCTTCTTCTTCTTCTTCTTCTTCTTCTTCTTCTTCTTCTTCTTCTTCTTCTTCTTCTTCTTCTTCTTCTTCTTCTTCTTCTTCTTCTTCTTCTTCTTCTTCTTCTTCTTCTTCTTCTTCTTCTTCTTCTTCTTCTTCTTCTTCTTCTTCTTCTTCTTCTTCTTCTTCTTCTTCTTCTTCTTCTTCTTCTTCTTCTTCTTCTTCTTCTTCTTCTTCTTCTTCTTCTTCTTCTTCTTCTTCTTCTTCATACACCAGAATAATGAAGCATTCATCCTGCACACAGGCTTTAGGGTCAGTAGCAGCAGAAACCCGAGGGTTGGTTCAGATGTTTAGGGTACAGAAGGTCTTCAGACCCCCGTCAGTTTTTCACTCGTTCTATTGCAGCTGTTTGCTACGATCATCAATTACATTCATTTTTTTCCTCATTAATGCACACGCAGCACCCTGTGTTGACAGAAAAACACAGATTTTAGAATTTTCTGCAGATTTATTAAAAGAGAAAAACTGAAATATCACCAAATATGGTGATGTGAGTTTCAGATGAAACAAAACACAGAATACCTTGAGTTTATACATTTAGGAATAAAACAAATATAAAATCTATAAAACAAATGGTAAATCACAGATTATTTTTGTCTTTTTCCAAAAGATGGTAACTGCGGATTTGTGTTTAAATAACATCCTCTTACAACGTTAATGTAACAGAGTTAGACTCGCCTGCAGTCGTTCCTCCAGGTACAGTTTAATACTTTCCATATGACTTTGATAATCTGACAGATTAGAGGTCACCAGTTCAGCAGCCTAACAAAAGAACACAAATAAATGCAACACAACAACAGAACAACATCAACGTGGTGTCTGAACTAGAAAATATTGCTTTTTTTACACTGGATTCAAACCAGAGTTTGTGAGGGCTGCAGGAACGTACCTTTCCCAGACCGGCGATCATCGGCGTGTTCTCAGTGCTGTAACGTTACAAAGGGAAAAAAAAGGAAATTACCTTCATTTTTACATTTGTTCATTTATCATTTAGGCTGCTTTATGCAAACACAGTCCTAATTTAGGTCAGACTGTTAACTTTTAGCATGTGAGGGACTTTACCCTGGTCTGAAGTTCCTCTCCTGACCTCCTCCAAACAACATTGGATAGAGTGGCGTTCTCCTTCCTGGTCCATTCACATACAGCGCACCAATCCGAGGTCCATAAAACTAGAAAAATGTTTCAACAAATAACCTCCCACTAACACTTTTGATCCAATGTTGATCAGGCTGGAAACGTGCTGCGCAAAAGCTTCTCAGACCTTGTGGCCCACTATGGTAAGGTAATCCACTCCCAGTTCCTGGACTTCCACGGAGATTTTGCCCAGAGCCTGAGCAGCGTCGGTGTGGAGCAGGATCCGGAGACGTTCTGGCTGCTTGTTGAGCAGGTCTACTCTTTGGCAGATTTCTTGGACGGGCTAGAAGGAGGAACAACCATCAGTTTTATCAGGTCACTCCAGTTGCACCAGTCAGTTGGTAGAATTGGAAAAAAGACTCAGGATTAGCAACAGCCGGCTGGCTCCTATTACCATTATGACTCCCGTCTCATTGTTGGCCAACATGACAGAGATGAGACAAGTGTTGGGACGAATGGCAGCAATAATATCCTCCACATCCACACGAGCTGTCACCTTAGACACGGGCACAAATGTCACATCTATGACAAAAGCAGGAGAGTCACTTCACCTGAATTGTTACAGAAAGACAATGGTAGTTAGAGGAGGAGTGGCCCCCTACCGGCCTTTCCGTCCGCGAGAAAGTGCTCAGCTGTGAGTTTGATCGAGTCATGCTCCACGTTGGTGGTGACGATGTGAGGAAGACCAGGGCACCCATTTGTAGGTCCTTCACTTTGCTCTGCAGCCCTGCAACTTTTCTTAAAGTGCTCCAAAGCGGTGTGCAGCACCAGGTTATTGGCCTGCAAAGTGAGTAACTTGTTAGAAACTACAAAGAGATGCAAAAAAACTATCATTCTGATCAAAGCCTCGTCCATAATTTACCTCTGTTCCACCCGACGTAAAAACAATGTCCTCTGATTTCCCTCCAACCATTCTGGCCACACTCTGTCTGGATTGACTGATGATGGATTTGGCTGTGGCACCTGAAAAAAAAAACATCAAAAGTATGAACATAAAAATGTATCGTCATGCTTACTTATCCTACTTTGGACACGTGGACCTCACCTGCCACATAGTTGCTACTGGGGTTCCCCCAAGCATCACGGAGAGCGTCAGACACAGCCTGAACCACCTCTGGCTCCAGAGGGGTGGTGGCATTATAATCCATGTAGATCCTACAGGTATAGACAGAGCTGTTTCAGGCTTCTTCGGGATGTTTTAATAAAAAAATTGAGAAAGCACCACTTTAAAACGTATTACCGGTCTACATTCATGTCTGGAATGTGATGAAGATCGTGGTCAGTGAAGGTTCGGCCCATCACCAGGGTGATGTCATCAGACTTGCTGGCCATTCTACTTCTAGAAGCAAATACATGGTAGACCATTGTAACATACAATATAGGCATCTTTCCAAAAGATATTAGGTTATCATGTAGGGTTGGGCAATCAATCGAAAAGTTATTATCGAAGTTTCCGACTCTAATCTCTATCGTTTTTCCCATGTCAATAAATTAGATAACAAAAATGAAAAGATGGGAGTAGGTTGGTGACATTCATGTCTGTACCACCCAGCTAGTCACATGACTCAACATAATACACGTGACAGCCCCATCTAGTGGACAGTTTTTTTTTCTGCACATACCTGTAGTTATCGTCCATTTGTCATAATTGAGGTGAAATCCTCAATTTACCGCAATACTGATTTTAGGTCATATCGCCCAGCCCTACTGCAGAACCCCAAATAGGCAGATGTGAAATGAAATATATCTAAAAACCACACATAAGAACACCATTACTTTTACTGTTTGGGGATACTTAGATTACTATGGTATACTAGAATTATTTTACCTTATATTTAACCTATTTTAGACGTGATGTTTCCTTGTTAACATTTTATTTCAGATGTCCACAATGATCATAATAAATACCACTCCTGTACTTTTAGATATCGCGAGGAAAAAGCTCTATGCAGCGACTGACTTAATCATATAATTTATTTAAGAAAAGTGTGACATTATGGGGGTAATTTTAATAATACATGTTTTGAAGCTCCTTTCTAACATTAAATGCCAACTCGGCTTGACCTACCCGGCTCTGTTTAGAAATGGTTGATTAATAAATGTAAATGGGGTTAGCTGAACTTCCAAAGTGATTTCCTAATTCTATATGATTTACGCTGTGCCCTCATTGTACTTGTTCTTCATGTTCTTTTGTCTCTTGTTGTTCTCTTTTACTGGACATTTACAAATGTTACATTAACTGCTCCTTTTGAATTTAAGTTTTGAACTTAACATTGTCAAGGTGCCATTTGTAAATTTACTAAATAAAAAATACATGTAAATGGGGCAGTTTTGTTTAAAGACG